AGTTTAAATGCTTCAGTTTGTTTTCTATTCTATTAGTTTAAATGCTTCAGTTTGTATTCTATTCTATTCTATTAGTTAAAATGCTTCAGTTTGTTTTGATATTATATTATATTGTTAGGCCTATGTTATAAACCTTATAAATAATTGACCTTGTTTTTTAATGGAGTCTCTTATGCTCAAGGCTGTATTTATTTGATCAAAATACAGAAAAAAAAAACTGAAATATTGTGAAATATTATTGAAATTTCTAATATGGGTTTCCTATTTTAATATACTTTAAAAATATAATTTATTCCAGTGAAGCAAAGCTGAATTTTCAGCATCATTATTCCAGTCTTCAGTGCCACATGATCCTTCAGAAATCATTCTAATATGCTGATTTATTATCAGTGCTGGAAACTGTTGTGCTGCTTAATATTTTTTTGGAACCTGTGATACTTTTTTCTTTGATTCTTTGATGAATAAAAAGTTAAAAAGAACAGCATTTATTCAAAATAGAAAGTCTTTACTATCCCTTTTTATCCATTTAACATATCCTTGCTGAATAAAAATATAAATTTCTTAAAAAAAAGAAAAAATTTACTGACCCCAAACTTTTGAATAGTAGTGTATATTGTAACACAAAATTTATATTTTGAACGAAACACGGTTCTTTTTAACTTTTTATTTATCAAAGAATCTTGAAAGTATCACAGGTCCCAAAAAATATTAAGCAGCACAACTGTTTCCAACATTGATTATAAATCAGCATATTAGATGAATAAAAAGTTTAAAAGAACAGCATTTATTCAAAATAGAAAGTCTTTACTATCCCTTTTTATCCATTTAACATATCCTTGCTGAATAAAAATATTAATTTCTTAAAAAAAAGAAAAAATTTACTGACCCCAAACTTTTTAATAGTAGTGTATATTGTAAGACAAAATTTATATTTTGAACGAAACACGGTTCTTTTTAACTTTTTATTTATCAAAGAATCCTGAAAGTATCACAGGTCCCAAAAAATATTAAGCAGCACAACTGTTTCCAACATTGATTATAAATCAGCATATTAGAATGATTTCTGAAGGATCATGTGACACTGAAGACTGGAGTAATGATGCTGAAAATTCAGCTTTGCATCACAGAAATAAATTATATTTTAAAGCATATTAAAATAGAAAACTTTATTTTAAATTGCAATAATATTTCAAATAGATACAACCTTGATGAGCATAAGAAACGTCTTTAAAAAAACTTTACTGATCCCAAACTTTTGAACGGCAGTATATTACACTGTAAAAAAAATTTTTCTCAGGTAACCTAAAATGTACATCATTTAGTTACATCAAGGGTCAAATCAAATATAAATAGCATTACAGTTAAAAGTTAACATTAAAGTTAAAAGTTACACACTTTTTTGTGCGCGCGCTGTACAGGTCTGGTATAAAGAATGTTTTCGCTCAGGTGGCTGAAATGTCCTCCCAATAGAGAACAGTTTTGCTCAGCAAGAAAAAAAATTAGAGGGAACATTGCTAGTCACTACTGTAGTACATACTAGTCAGAACTGAATAGTTGATATCTGAATGGCAGATTCCCATAGAAGTCAATGGGGAAAAAATGTGTTACTAGTATCAACAGAATAGTTACTAGTCACTACTGAAATAAGTAGTGGTATCTAATGAATAAGTACTATTATCAGTTTAATAGGTACTAGTATCTAATGAATAAGTACTAGTATCTAATAGTAAGTAGTAGTATCTATATCACAGGTAATGAATACATACTAGTATCTAAGTACTAGTATGTAATGAATGAGTACCAGTATATTATAAATAAGAACTAGTATCTAATGAATAAGTTTTAGTATCTTTTAAAACAGTACTAGTAGCTAAAGAATAAGCACTAGTAGCTAATAAGTACTACTACCTAATGGAAGTACTAGTAGCATGAAAACAGATTCTGGCATGTTTTATACTTAGATTAAATGTTAAAATGGCCTGCCATAGTTTTAATTTAGTTTTGATGACTGTCCCACATGTGGGTGTGTGTTATTCACCGGTCTTGCCATCTCTCTGAAGTGCTGTGTTTGTGTGCAGCAGTGAGATGGTTCGTTGCGTTGCTGTGTTCAGATCTTCTTGAGCCCAGGCAGGATCCAAATCACACTCTGGCTTCAGCTGACGCAAGGTCACATGACCCACGAGAACCGCTAAATTAACCGAGAAAAACACTGATTTGAATCATATGAAACCAAAGGTAAGACAACTGTTATTCACACATGCAGAAATGATCTCAGGCAGCTTTAAGCATGCACTTGCATTAAACCTAACTTACATTAATTATTTATATGTGAAACAAAGACCTAAATAAAGTTAAAACCGTGAAGTGAAGACATTTAATGAACGTAAACACTTTGATGATTTTTCTAGTAGCCAATTACTGCTGTATTAGGCATTTAAAAATCATTGTATACAGATTTTATGAGGAGATTTCTAGCTGGTTAAATGATTTTTAAAATGTTATTATTTAACTTTTTATTTTATTATTATTTATGCATATTTTTAATGCAATTTTATTTACACAAATGCATATTCACTTTAGAAATGTCAATTGTTTTAGCTGTTGAAATGATATATTTTTAATTAAATGTTATTTACACAGATGCATATTCAGATGCATATTGAGAAATATTTTAGCTGTTAAAATAATACTTTTATTTTGTTTAATTTAGACAAAAATTGATATTTCTTTTAGAAATGTAAATTACTTTAGCTGTTGAAATAACTTTTTACATTTAATTTAATTTACACAAATGCATATTCACTTTAAAAATGTCAATTGTTTTAGCTGTTGAGATAACACTCTTTTTAAATTTAATTTTATTTTATTTACACAAATGCTTCAGATGCATATTGAGAAATATTTTAGCTGTTAAAATAATACTTTTATTTTGTTTAATTTAGACAAAAATTGATATTTCTTTTAGAAATGTAAATTACTTTAGCTGTTGAAATAACTTTTTTAATTTTATTTTATTTTATTTACACAAATGCATATTCACTTGAGCCACAATCACACACGAAACCAAATATACGACATCTGTTATTGATATACACAAAAACAAAGTTGGGCAGCATTAAATATGTATTTGCATTAAAAAAAACTATTTATAAGTGAAAACAAGGACAACAAATACAAGTGAAGACATTTAATAAGAGCAAACGGTTATAAACAAACAGGAAAAGAAAGGCATACCCAGGTAGTGCAGTTCTTTAGGCATGAGAGAGACGCCGATGTGCAGGAAGACCTGTTTGACGCGGGGAGCAGCCAGAGGAGACTGAAGTAGGGGCAGAACAACCTGCAGAACTCCAGGAAGATGCATCCAGATCAAAGGAGGACGACGGGCCAGAGCCACTTCCAACAGACCGACCGCACACTGCAGCTCCCCAACCAGCTGAGACAGAACAAGAGAGACAAGAGACACGGCTCAGTGGTTTGTTCACACTGATGGGCGCATCTCAGGTGGTCTTCGGTACCGTATGAACTCTCACCTCCTGCAAACGCTTGCGGATGGCAGACTCATTCTCCAGCTGGTTCTGCATCATCTCCTTCTGCTTGCTGGTCAGCTGGATCTCCTCTTTGATGCCTTTTTTCTTCTTGATCTCCTACAAGACAAACACAAGGGGTAGCTCAATCAGATGTGCAGTATAAAACAGAGAGCACTGCACCAGATACAGTATCCCACAATGCAATGTGCTTGTTTCATTTCCAGTGTGACTGATGAACTAGAGCCAACATCAGCCCAGATTTTTAATGTATTTTAATGTGACTGCCAAAAGTTGTATATACATATTGATCTATTTTTATATATTTTATAATTTTAATGTATCTTAGTTATTTAATATATCTAATATATTTATAATTTAATATATTTTAGTTAATCATAAATACACTAAATTGTAGAAATTATTATTATTATTGGATACTTTTTTCATATGTATAAAACATACAGAATTGCAAGATGCACAAAAATTGCTGAAATATATAATCTTTCATATATTTTACAGACTATTATAATACTTAAAAAAAACAGACTACTACTATTTTTATGCAAAATATTGTTTTATAAAATTGCGAAATAATGGTTTATTTTCAAGATTTTCAACAACTAGACGTCACTCAAAAATCAACAGGTTATGCAGTGAGGTGAGAATATTCTGTATTTCAGTTGGAAGTGTTTCTTGCCGCGTACTGTAAATACTATTTTTGACTAAACAGTGTACAGTAACTACTCGGTATGCAGTAGTAAACAATTTGTCTCCTTTTTTATTCGAGCGGATCATTTGTTGTATTTCTCTCTCACCTCTTGAAGCTCCAGTTCAATGATCTGCTCTTTGAAGGAATACGCCTTATTCTCTCTTTTCATGTTGCCTTTCTTTGTGCTCTCCTGCTGAGCGCTGCCAAAAACAAAAACAACAACGCTTACTAGAAACTACCCGATCCATGTGATTCTCATTCATTCATCTCAGAATGTGTATTCGCTCCACCTTGTTCAGTTGACTTTACCTCATAATGATGCTCTTGTCGTAAAGTTCTCCCTCCGGCGTTTGCATGATGGCATACTCCTGACGCGTCACCTGCCTCAGCGCTGGATTGGACAAGCGCTGGGCCACATGATCCATGACACGCGGCAGCAGTTTGGTGGGAGACAGAAGCGACAGAGAACCGACAGCATTCTGAACAGCCTACGGAGAGAGAGACACACAATGTCAACCATAAACCCAACAGAAATCTGTCCGAATCTGAATGTGTGTCCTATTATATCAATCTGACAACACAACGTGACTAGGGTGTAACATGACATATTGTTAAGTTTCAAATTATTACTTCTATGACATATATGGAATCCTGTTTACACCACGGAATAAAAAAAAGTGAAAACCGTAATTGCAACTTTTTATCTCACAATTTGGAATTTTTTTCACAATTCTGTAAAAAATAAAATAAAATTGCCAGATATCAACAGAACCTTACTGACTTTCTCACAATTCTGACTTTTTTTCTCAGAACTCGCAATTGATTTTTTTTTTTACGAAAAAAAATAAAATAAAAAAGTAATTGTGACTATGTCACAAGAAAGTCACAAAAAAGGCTGAAGTGTGAGATGTAAACTAAAAATTGTGAGATATAAATCAGAATTGAGAGATATAAATTCAGAATTGCAAGATATAAACTCGAATTCTGAGAATGTAAACATGCAATTTTGCATTTACATCTCCCATTTCTGTTTATTTCGGAATTTTGACTTTTTTCTCAGAATTGTGACAAAAAAGTCTGAATTTTGAGAAAAGAACTCACAATTGTGATTTCAAAAAAGTCTGAATTATTAAATAAATAGCTGCAATTATCTTTTTTATTTTTAATCCATGGTGGAAACAAGCTTCCATAGACATATGCTAGCCAGTTAACAAAAAGTACTGTTTATTAACCAGAAAAGAGAAAGAGCTTTGCTAAAAATACAGTGTTTTGTTAGACACATAAAATATTTAAAGTATTGCATTTTATTAAATAATGTATTCTAATTTTAGTTAATCAATTTAATTACTATAAAATCTATATAATAGTTCATTAATAAACATGAAAGCTCAAAAGGGTGAGCTTCCGGGTGGGTTTACCATATTTGATGCGCTATTTGTATGCACGTTGATCATTGTTTATGTGAATAAAAACGAAATTAAAGATTAAATTAAATGTTAAACTTAAATTTTTGGTGAACTACACACAATATATATTGTCACTGTCTATGACACATATTGTTGCATTTTTGTAGAGTGATATATATCTACAGCTAGGGGTGTGCGATATGATGATTTTTGATCGTGGACGATAAAAATGTCTCCACGATCTGCTTTTGAAGAAATATCGTAGTATCGTGCTACAGCGCACATTCTATCAGCTGCAGTTCTGGCGCCTCCGTCTCTATGCTGTACAATGCGACATACATTCACATCTAATTTTATCTCGGCGATAGATTTACTCGCACAGGACACCGCACTTATTTGCAATCACAAAAGTACATAATTTGCATGTGCTTTAAAGCCTTGCCGGTCAAACTTTCATTCGCGCGCACTAAAAAGCCTGTGTAACAGTGCCTGATTACAGAACTAAGCTATCTTTTGTGCTAATACTGTCAAAACACACAAGGTTTACATATAGGCTCAGTTGGTTATGTCTCAAATGAAAGTAAACAGTTGAGAGAGAAACGAATGCGTGCCTGTATATTAGATGCTTGCAGGTCTTAAAGGGACAGTATTAAACATGCAGCCCACTGTCATTAAAGGGATAGTTCACCCTAAAATTTTATTTCTGTCATTATTTACTCACTCACGTTGTCTCAAATCTGTATTAATTTCTTTCTTGTGCTGAACACAAAAGAAGATATTTTGAAGAATGTGGGTAACCAAACAGTTGCTGGTCCACATCGTATTTGATAGTAGGAAATAAATACTATGCAAGTCACTGTGGACCAGCAACGGTTTGGTTTTCCACATTCTTCAAAATAGCATTTATGTTCAGCAGAAGAAAGAAACTAGGGCTGCACGATAAATTGCATGCGGTTGTCATGCGCATCTCATCAGTAAAGCCGGTTCTGTGATCAGTAGTAAATCTCCATCACATGCTTTTAGACGGAGCAGCATTTACTACACCGAGCTGTAGATCACTGACAAGCTACGCAATATTGTGTTTATAATCGAAGGCGATTAATCTGCGAACTCATTCAGGTTTAAAACAACTTTTGAGTGAGTAAATGATGGTATAAAAATAAAACACTATGACAGAATTGACAGCTACATTTGCTACAGAAGTTATTCATCTTTGTTAAAAAATACAACTCTTAGTTCGACACTTTCAAACAATATCTAGGGCATGTTGTAGTCCAGATTAAAATGTAAAAAAAGTGTGAAAATAAATAGCCTATTAAGTCTAAATATTTAAGTACTTGCCGCTGTTATGAACACCACTGCAAATACAAAAATCTGAATGGATATTTAAACTATTTAAATACGTTTTAGAAAGTAGTGCAGCTGCTTTATTTACAGGGTTTCCAGGGTAACGGCAGCATTTTCTGCAGTTTAGCGCCATCTGCTGTCAGAGAGTGAATGTGCGCTTTATCCAGAGCGTCTCTCACGCGCTCCGCCATGCGCTTCTCATCCGTGCTTGTTTACGAGAGAGCTGTATGCGTGAAAGACGCATGCGCAGTGTTGTGCATTGTAATCAGTTGATGGGAAAAATATTCTTAATGCATTCAAAAAATAATCTGAATAATTTATAATAAATAATTATTCACGGTATTTTGAAGTGCCCACGATAACAATATCGTGCATATTCATTACCATGATATATGCATTACCGAATACCGGCACATGTCTACAGACAGATGACAGACTTTTTATTTTTGGGTGAACTATTCCTTTAATGTTAATAAAACAACAAAATGCAGAGAAAAATCACTCACTATTCTTGACTGAAAAACTTTA